AGTAATGTCAAATATTTCATGGCTCTAATCAGTCTCCTGAGGGGATGTGTTCATTTCTTCCTGTGGTCATTCACAGGTGGGCCTAGTCAGCATGTTTCCTATGATCTAAACAAAGGTATTTTAGCTTAATGCTCATTACCTGGGGAGGTAGGGTTCCCAGAGATGGGCCATTATGTATAATTTAAGCTTATAGGCAACATCCCTTTAGTGATTAACTTGTAATAGGATACAAAACTTCTTCCCTATTACACTTGGAAACTACTATACTAAGTCTATCTTATCTGCAGGCTGACATTTTGCAATTTTAAACTGATCCCATATGGTTTCATGAGATGTGCCTCGGATCTCCCCAGAAGGTAACCCACACCTGGTGGTGAGTCCCAAGCCCATTGCTGGAGTTGGTCAGGACCCTAAGAGTGTGCCTGGCACCCAGTATGAACACAGAAAATGCAGAAGTCTATAACCGTGGTTCCTATGAAAGGCCTAGCTCAGGTCAGACCTTCATTTATCGGTCTGTTCACTTGCCGAGTATACTGAGCCCTACTATGTGCAGAAGCCAGGCCATGTCTGTGGCTGTCAGCCTCGATGACCTTCCCCTTCTCTGAACTCCTCTGGGGAGCATGTGGTGCACCCCTGGTTTTCCTCACTGGCAAGTTCTTCCTTCCGGAGGTGGAAAGATTAGAGATTCCCCTGCTGGGTGGGATCTGGACTGATCACCAGCAAGGAGCTGATTGAGGGTCACCTCTGTGGGGAGCCTGGGGAGTAAGCCTTTGTGTCTAAATGTGTCACCGTGAATGAAACAGCATCGCTGGTGCATATGACAGCAACAGCAGGTACTGCATGGGGAAGAGGGGGTTGGGGGGACTCTGTCTGTGGCAGGTACAAGTTCTTTACCACGTTACACCTCATCCTCCTCATGGCCATCTGGCGAATGTGGCACTATCACCCCCGTTTTAAAGATGGAGAAACTTGTTTTCACAGGCACTATGTAATGTTCCCCAGGTTACACAGCTCATAAGCTGGATTTGAACCCACAGCTTTCTGGCTCCAAAGCTTAGGCCCTGGCTTAGCCCACAGACTTAACCCCTTTATTGTCCCTTTAAATATGAAATAGGACCACACTTGGTTGCAGGTAACAGAATGTGACCACCGTGGTCGGAACAGCTGTGGGGTTCACCATCTTAACTTCTAGTGCTTAGCATAGGGTCAGGCACACACTAAAAGCTCAATAAATGTTTGTTAAATGAATATAAGAGTGTATAATTTCCTTGAATAATAATTCTACTAATATCTTGCATCAACATAACATTTTATTGTTAGTGTTCACTCTCATTTCAGGGATAACAAAGAAGATCCTATCCTGCTCTACCTGTAAAAACAACCCCATACAAAGGCCAGGACAGGTTTTATATCCCCATTTTGCAGAGAAGGAAACTGAGGCTTAGAAAGTTTAAAGTGACTTTCCTGAAGTCCCAGAGTAAGGGCATCACAGTGCAGAATTCAAAAGCTTTATTTATTTATTTATATTTTTTACTTTTGCTCAATACGCCTTCTCCATCATTGCGCCTCTTCCTCTAAATACTGTGGTAGAAGCCAAGGTGCAGAGTCTTTCTTTTCTCATTAGCATTCTTTCCGAAACAGGGGCAGAGATTTTACCAGTGGGCCCATCCTATTAAGTGCCATAAAGCAGACTTGTGTGGTCTTCCGTCCTGCTTTGGAAGCATCTGTGAGTCTCGTGCTCTGGAGGCAAGGGGAAAAAATGTATTAGGTTCTCTAATATGATAATAATACCAAAGAAATTTATGGTGCCCCAGAGGAAGATAATTACAAATGGATGAAAGGTGACTATTTAATGTAGAGGCTTTTTTTTTTTAGGGTATAAAAATAAATAGAAGAAAATAGAGTGCCAATAGAACCTGCAGCAAATGGAAGGCAAATGGGCCTGTTTCACTGGTGCTCCCGCTGCAACCCACCTTCCTGCATAATGATGGCCATTTTTAACATTTCTGACTTTGTCATTTTTCGAGTAGCTCTAAAATCTCTTGCTTGTTTGCCAGTCTTCAAGAGGTTTCTAAAGCTCCAGGAGTGCCTTTGGCCTCGTCTTTCCTTCCTTCACCACCTCCCTTAAGGCTCTGTGGTTCTTCCCTAAAGTCAGACCCTGGGCCAGGCAAGCAGGGATGGGCACTGTGCTCCCTCCTAGTGCTCTGGCCACTGAATCTTCCCTGCTAGGACATCTGTGAACGGCTGGGGGCACTCTGTGGGCAGCCCGCAGGAGCGGTGGTGAGGGGCCAGAAGCCCATCTCCCAGGGAAGCCAGGCCTTTGCAGACACTCACTTCACGTGCCCTGGTCTCTAGCACCGCCCTTTTCCCTCCCCCACTCCAGGGCAGGTCGTCAGGAGCTCTTCCCCTGCCAGAGGACACTCAGGGGCCTGTACCCCAGATGCTTGGCCCACTGCCCTCTTACTGCAGGCCGCGGCCTGCCCTGCTTGCACATCCCAGCCCTGCCCAGTGGGGAAGCGGCCAGGACGTTCAGTGCAGCCATGTCGGCCCCGAACTCCAGCTGCACTTCACCAAGGCCACGCAGTAGGTAAACTCTGCTCGTTTCCTTGAGTCCCGCCCCACCCCAGACTTCACTGTTGTGGAGGAGGCCGCTGACCTTCCGCCTGCAACAGTCTGCACCTGCTACAGGTGCTCTTTGATTTAACGGAAGCACCTCTTCTCCTTTGTCCTCGGCCTGCTGCACCCGCAGCGTGCTGGTTTCAGTGTCCCCCATCCCGCAGGGGGGCTCTGGGGGCTCTGAGTCTTGCTCTCAGCTTTTCTGATTTCCATTCTCTCTTCATTCTGACCTCTCGTTGGTGCAGACAAGCCAGGCAGCCCCGCCTCATCACGGGCGTGGAGGAGACGACTGGTTCCTCCAGGGTAGTGGGGGTGAAATAGGGGGGCGGAAGGGCCCAGGCAGTGAGCGGGGACAGGAGGCTTGTCTTGTCCCCATCTTCCTGCAACACCGCCCCTCTCCCCTGTTCAGGACTCTTCTGAACTCACCTCCTGCTTGGACTCACCTTCCACCCTGGCCCGGAGCTTCTGACTGGCCCACCTCCTGTTGGGCTCCCTGCTCCCCTCCGCCCAGGGTGGGGGGCCCTGCCCCTCTGCTGTTCCAGCTGAGCCCCAACGTGAGCCAGGCTTCTGACTAGGGGTGGAAGGCCCGCCTCACAGCACCTGGAGGATGTGCCTTGGGCGAGGCGCAGGGGCTCCCGTGGGCCGAAGCTCTGCCTCTGCCTGGCCCGCACTTCGCTTCCTGGTTCCTGGGGACCAGCTCTCCTAGCGTCGTGCAAATAGGCAGGGCAGGCCTGCAGCCTTTGGTTTTCTTCTAGGGGTGGCACATAGTGGCCTCACCCCCTGCTGCTGTGTGGCAGGGCTGGAGTTTTAGGCCACCTCCTTCCCCCCACAGCCCCCCCCTCCCCCGCTGCCGTTGTATCGCCACAGGGCTTTCTCCTCAGGGTCCGGTCTGCCTCTGTGTCCCTTTGTTTCTCAAAATACATCACAGGGTGCCACACGTGCTCACAGTCAGACGTGCTGATAAGCACTGGGAAACCTTCACTTTCTTAGAACTCTAACACAAAACTCATTTCTGCTGTTTTTCAAAGGCAAGGTCATCATGTGCAGAATTTCAGTTTCTTCTGAGTTTACTTAGGGCCTGGCTGCTTGGAGACAGAGCTAACATCAGGAGTCTGGACTTTCTAAGCAGAGGTCCTGGGGAGTGGGGAGTTTCTCCCAGCAGCCAGCAGCGGGCCACTGCCTGGTGGCTGTCTGACAGGTCTCCTTTCTCAGAGGTCCTGCCCTGGGCCCCGAGAACACAACAAAGTCTTTAAAAGTGAATGATTCCAGGAGATACAGGACAGAAAAGTGAAAGGAGCTTTGGAAAAAAGTAACTTATCTGGGGAATGTGTGTCTCCAAGGCACTGCGCACACACTCAGAGACAATGGTGAGAATTCAGGTCATCTGGGAAGAACCCTTGTAAATCTTTTAGATTATTTAGGCAGGAAAAGGGTTTTTGGTTTTTTTTTGCTTTCAGACTGTTCAGTTTTAAGTTTCTGTGTAAAATGTGGGCATGATATTGTTATTCCTCTTCCTCCTACATGGTGGGTCCGTGGAATTCTTGTCTTCTTTTATTGGGAGAAAACCATGTCATATTGAATTTCGACACTTTTATTTAATGTCTAATCTGTGCTCAAAGCCTATTGCCTTCTTAAACAAGGCTGACGATCTGCGTTATTGGAGCAAAAGTAGAGTGAGCAATGCCTCAGTTGATTCCTCTGTCAGTCCATGGTTTCCGCAAAGAGTTTAGCTGACAGGGAATGTGGCGGAGAAATTTCAGTAGGCCACCTCTGGGGAAATTGAATGGGTGCTTTTCTGATTCCGGACCTTCCTCATTTTATTTTGTGAGAAAACCCAGAAATGGCTCACCAAAACGAATTCACATAAAAATGATATGTAGGAGTTTTTGAATAAAAATAAGCCATAAATAAGTAATAAATCCTAGATAGGCCCATTGAAAATGGATAGCAATAATGCTGTGTTTACTGCCTTACTTCCAAAGCACAGACATTTATTATAATTTAGGGCAATTCATTGTACTAGTCTGGCATTTACAAAATTCTCATCATAGTATTAGAGTAAGACCCTATTTCCTAGGCAGCATTGTTGTAATAAACTGTAATTAGTGTCTTGTAAACAGCGGTAATTCATTTTTGGAAGGAAAAGGCTTGTGGACAGCTAAATATTGTGAGCGTACCTGCTCTCTGAGCATTTCCATCAGGCTGCGGTGCACCTGGAGCGCAGGGCACCCACGCCGCCCCCCGCAGGGCTTGGGCGGAGGCAGTCAGACTCCTCGGCTCCCGGCTGCCCTCCACCGAAGCCACTGTTTATTCCTCTGCTGCTGCGAGGACAGCCCCTGTCGTAGCGCCGCATCCCTACGTGGCCTCTGTTGTTTTACAGCGTGCTCGTCCAGATGCACAGCAAGACAGACTCCTCAAGCCTAAGCCGGGCGGCCCACCTGGAAGAGGAAGCGGGGCAGGTGCCCGCAGGCCGGGCTCACCATGACACGGTGTGAGACCTCCGGCTACAACATGGGACCCGGGCGCTGCTCCGACCCCTCGTGTCTTGTGTTGCAGCCGGAGGGACGCAGGTCCGCAGCAGAGCCTGCTTCCCGCCAGGGACCCGACGTGGCAGCAGCACGGAGACGGCGGGAAGGAAGGTGGGTGTAGCTCCTGGAAGAGTGGCCTGGGGGCAGCCCCCGCCTGGCCCCTTCTTGGTCCGCGATCAGTCTCGGTGCAGGGCTTCGCTCACCCCTAGTCCGCATCCGGTACCTTGTGCCAGCTGCCTGGGGCGCGGCCCGCTTCGACCTGGGCTTTGAGGCCACTTTCTGCTCCTTACCCCCGGTCCCCAGTCCAGCTCAGGTGACCGAGGCTCCACAGTGAGGCTTGAAGGACAGCAAGGAAGGCAGCAGTTCCCCAAACATCTCTCCCATTCGTGGGAAAGGCCACCGCTAAACCTGCGTTCCCATCGGGACAACAAACATTGCATTTTTACGAGTTGTCTATTAAATGTGAGTATTTCCTGCAAAGTGGTAGATTAAACCACTGCAGGCATCAGCTGGGTTTCATTGATTATGTTACTCTCCTACATGACAGGGACTTGAGAGGTAAATGAAATCAGATGGTGAATTTCTTTTTTTTTAACATCTTTATTGGAGTATAATTGCTTTACAATGCTGTGTTAGTTTCTGCTGTATAACAAAGTGAATCAGCTATACGTATACATATATCCCCATATCCCCACCCTCTTGCGTCTCCCTCCCTCCCACCCTCCCTATCCCACCCCTCTAGGTGGTCACAAAGCACCGAGCTGATCTCCCTGTGCTATGCGGCTCCTTCCCGCTAGCTATCTGCTTTACATTTGGTAGTGTATATATGTCCATGCCACTCTCTCACTTCATCCCGACTTACCCTTCCCCCTCCCCAGATGGTGAATTTCAATAGGGAAGAAGCTCCAACAGAGGACCCTCAAACTGGAGGTGGGAGGCATCAGAGGCAAGCTACCTTCACCATCACAGCACTGAGGTGGGAGCTGGGGACACAGGGTCCAGGGAGTGACCCCTACCTTTACAGCTGGGGTCTGTGGGTCACATTTCTGCAAAGCGCCTGCCCTAGGGTAGCATCTTTCAGCCAGATCCAGATCAACCTCTGGTCTGACGACCATCTGCGTATGTTCCTCCCACACCTGCCCAGTCCTCAGTATAAATCATCCATTTATTCCTTCACTTTTCTCTGGCCTCATGGTGTTTGTAGAGCCTCCTCTTTTAGCAGGAACTTACTAGGTTTTAAATGTAATAGGTTCAGTGTTTTTCCTTCTCTTGAATGATTTAGAGGGCCGTGGAATAAAATGAGAGGCTATATTTAAATGAAACTTCTGGGGAAACCAGGTTGCTGAGACGGGTGAGATGCAGTGATGATTCACAGCTGGTCCTGGAATTCTTCTCAGGCGATGCCCTTATTTAGGAAAGCAAGTTGGGATAGAAAGCGGTTTGGCAGACATCAAGGAATCAACAGAAACATTTGGATTGCCTTTTGTAGAAATGAACAATAATTTGGAGGTGGGGAGGACAGAAAAGGAAGGGGGAGCAAAGGGAGTGGGTCAAATGGTATGGGGAGTTATTGTACACTTTTAAGTTGTTTGTGTTGCTAAAGAAGAACCCATCCCGTGTCCCCTGACGTTCACCAAAGTCTGTTACGCTCACAAAGGCCTTGTGTGAATGGGGTTCTGTTAGTTTCTTGGTTTTGTTGGAACTTGGTGGAAGGGCCTGAGTTTCACATTAATGGCCCATGTGAGATGGCCTGATGATTTGTAAACTGAATTAATTTAGGAAAGATATTAGTTTGGAGACCATAGGCAGGCTCATCCTTCAAGAAATTTAGGAAATCATGGCGGGGAGGCATGATGGTTAATTTATGTGTCAACTTGGCTGGGCGGCAGTGACCAGGTATTTGGTCAAACGTTATTCTGGATGTTTCTGTGAAAGTGTTTTTGTTGGATGTTTTGTTGGCTGAGATTAACATTTAAGTGCGTGGACTTCAAGTGAACCAGTTACCTTCCATAGGGTGAATGGGCCTCATCCATTCCTTGAAGCCTAGCTAGAACAAAGACTGACTTCTCTTGAGGAAGAAGGAATTCTGCCAGCTGACCGTCTTTGGACGGTCTTGAATGGCAGCTCTTACCTGAGTCTTCAGTTTGCCAGCCTACCCTGTAGGTTTTGGATTTATTAAGCCTCTGCAATCACATAAGCCGGTTTAAAAAAATATCTCCCTCTCTATATATATGTATCTATACACATCCTATGGTTTTCTTTCTCTGGAGAAACCTGACTAATACAGGAGAGGATATCAGATTTCCATAGATAGAAGATGAGGGTCAGCGAAAAACTTACCTAGATTATTTGAGGCAGGGAGACTCCGCTGACATATAGGTGAAGACTTATTTATTTTTTTAAAAAATTGATTTCTAGTTTAATTCCACTGTGGTCAGAGAACATATCCTTATGATTACAATGCTTGAAATTTATTGACTTGTTTAATGGCCCAATAAATAGTCTCTATTGGTGAATATGTGCACTTGAAAGGTATGTGTGTTCTGCTGTGGTTGGGTGGGATGTTCTATAAATGTCAATTAGGACATTGGTGAATAGTGTTGTTCATATTTTTTTGTATCTTTACTAATATTTCTATCTGCTTATTCTAAAGATTACTGACAGGGAGATCAGCTCGTTGCTTTGTGACGATCTAGAGTGGTGGGGTACGGAGGGTGGGAGGGAGGGGATATATGTATACATATAGCTGATTCACTTTGTTGTACAGCAGAAACTAACACAACATTGTAAAACAATTATACTCTGATAAAGATGGAAAAAAAAAGATTATTGAGAGAAGAGTGTTGAAATATTCAGGTAAGATGAAGGATTTGCTTGGTTCTATCATTTTTTGCTTTAGCTATTTCTATGTGAAAGCTTGTTGTTGGGTGCATGTATTTAAGATTGTCATGTCCTGTAAAACTGAGCCTTTCATCATTATGAAATATTCCTCTCTCACTGGTGATAATCCTTGTCCTGAAGTCTACTTTCTCTCTTATTAACATAACTGCACCAGCTTTGTTCTGATTAGCGTTTGTGTAGCATGTGTCTTTCAACCTGTGTCCTTATATTTAATGTGTACCTCTAATAAATAACATAGTTGAATCTTTTTTTAAAAATCCAAATGATTTTTTATTGGAACGTCTAGTTCATTTACAGTTACTATAATTACTGATATGGTTGGGTTAAACCATTTTGTTCCTATTTTCTATTTGTCCCATCTGTTCTTTGTTCCTTGTTTCATGCTTTCTGTTGAAGTAATCAATCACTTTTTGGTATTCCATTTTGTCTCTTTTATTTGCTTTTTGGCTATACTGCTTGATAAATAGATAGATTGTTAATTTAGTGGCTGTTCAAGGGATTATAGTATGCAGCCTTAAGTTATCACAAGTGACCCTGAATTCAATCGTACCATTATACAAACAATATAAGAATCTTACAACTGTATTTAACTCCATTTCTTGCTTTGTGCTATTTTTTTGTTGTATATTTTACTTCTATATTTGTTATAAATACTCCATACGTTGTTTTTACTGCTTTTACTTTAAACAGTCAATAGTTTTCCAAAATCTTTCACTTTTGAAATAGTTATAGACTCACAGGAAGTTGCAAAAGTAGTACAGAGAATCTTGTGTATCCTTTGCCCCTATTCCCCCAGTGGTTATATCTAACCCCAATAATATCGAAACCAGGAAATTGATATTGGTACAATACTGTTAACTGTGCCTTATTCAGATTTCACCAGTTTTCACTGATGAGTTTATATGTGTGTGTATGTATAGTTCTATTCAGTTTTTCCACATGTATGGATTTGTTTTACTACATAATCGAGATATAAAACTGTCCCATCAATACCAAGGAACTCCCTTGTGCTACCCCTTTATAGCACCCCACCCTCCCTCCCCAAATCTCTATCCTCTGGCAACCATTAGTTTGCTCTCCATCTCTATGATACTGACATTTGGAGGATGCTGTATAAATGGAGTCATACAGTATGTAATCTTTTTAGATTGGCTTTTTTCACTCAGGAGAACGCCTCTGAAGAAAAACACTATGGAACACTATTGAAAGCAACTTTCTTTACAGGTGCATTACACCTGTAAAGTAATCAGTATACAGAGTAAATACTGATGTGTATTTTCCTCCTACGATTGCCTCAAGACAACAGAGCAGGAGAATAAAGAGGCAGTAGTGTGAAAAAAAAAAAAAAAAAAGGAATGCCTCTGAGATCCATGTAATATGTACTGTATATCAGTAGCTTGCTCCTTTTTTATTGCTGAGTAGTATTCCACTGTAGCATAGTTTGTTTATCCATTTACACATTGAAGGATACTTGGGCTATTTCCATATTTTAGCTATTATGAATAAAGTTGCTATGAACATTCATATACAGGTTCTTGTGTGAGCATACATTTTCATTTCTCTGAGATAAATGTCCAAGTGTGTGAGTGCTGGGTTAAATAATAAGTATATATTTCGTTTTATAAGAAATTGCCAAACTATTTTCCAGATTGATTGTCCCATTTTACATTCCCAATAGCAATGTATGAGAGATGCAGTTGCTCCACAGCCTCACCGGCACTTATTATTTTTATTTTACGTCCTAATAGATTTGTCATGATATTTCATTGTGGCTTTAGTTTTCGTCTCTCTAATGGCTAATGATGTTAAACAACTTTTTTAATGTTTATTGGCCATCCATAAATCCTTTTCGGTGAAATGTCTGTTAATGTTTTTTGCTCATTTTCTCATTGGATCGCTTGCTTTATTACTGTTGAGTGTGTGAGTTCTCTAGATGTTCTAGATACAAGTCCTTTGTCAGATACATAGTTTGCAAATATTTCCTTCCAGTCTGGGGCTTGCCTTGTCATTCTTTTATGATCTTTCATAGAGCAAATGGATGAAGTTTAATTTATCAATGTGTTCTGTTAGGAATTATACTTTTGGTGTCATGGCTAATCACTAGTGATGTTGAATTTAGCACTAGGTTCCAAAGATTTTCTCCTGTGTTTTCTTCCGAAAGACTTACAGTTTTACATTTAAGTCTATGGTTCATTATGAATAATTGTTTT